AAACTATATGGAGTGCAAGTTCTTGTATTAGGATCCCGTTTATTATGTCAATACAGAAGGAAGAAGAATATCGTATGTAAGGTTTCAAATATATGAGTTTTTTAAAATTGATTGAAGGTTTTGTTTCAAGTTTTTTACTATGTTCATTTTTTTGTCTTTCTCTTAGATTGCACAATCAATTTTGAGTTTCCTACATCTAGACCGTGAGTTAGATTGTTCTTTGTTTTAAGTTCGACTTTGTTTAGAGTGTACATTTACAGGTAATTTAGATTTCTCCATTTTTTTGCGGTTTATATTTTTTTGGATATTTTATTTTTTCTATTTTTTTGGGTATGAACTTTTTTTATATATTTTTCTAAAAAAAATATTCCACATTCTGTCAATTCTTTACGTTATATTTCTTTGAATTTTGTTTGATTTGTGAAAGACGATTATTGTATTATACATGTCATTCCAGTCTACCTTATTTATTATATTTTTTTAAGTTAGACATGGGCATCGAATCTTCTACGCAAACTGTGTAATTTGTCACAATGGAAGTTTGTAAAGTTATGAATTCTCCATACAAGAACTTCTTGAAAGATCAGTTCTGTAACCCATATGTCGCGATAAACTGTCGTTCCCGACATTCGTTTCGCTTATTCTCGACAAATGAGTTATCTTTCGATATAAACTATCATTTTCGAAGGTAAATGCAGTATTTCTCGAACATTATAGTTTTTTTTTATTTCTTATACATGTATTTAGCATTAAAATCTGAAAAATTCAAAATTTTAAATACACTCATCTCATTTCGTAATATGCAAACTAGAAATATTGAATTCATGTCCATTAATATTGTAATTATTGTTTTCAATTAGATGGAGGATGTATCAATCTGTGCTCCGATAATTATAAGGGTCTATTGCCTAGTGAGAACTAAGAGGCGAACGATATGTATGTTAATTATGAGGAATTCAAAATTTTAAATACTCTCGTCTCATTCCGTAATTTGCAAACTAGAAATAATGAACTCATGTCGGTTAGTATTGCAAATGTTGTTTTCAAATAGATGGAGGACCAATAGAGCTCAAAGTGTCATCCTCGAACAACGAGAAAGTTCCCTCAACTTGTAGCATGACGGAGGTAGCCACCATACCCATCGAAAGTAATGATATTGATAATACAAAGAGCAATGATCAATACACATTCGATTTCCTGCAGCATCTACTAGGACTTATACACCAAGGAGAGGAGAAAAAGAATAAAGAAATAGTGTGACCAAATTTATTAATACTACATTAGAATTGATTTGTGTAATCAATGACCTCATTTTGCTTACATCCAAGAATGTGGTTATAAACATGATTTAGTGGTTGCATCCACATGTGGTGACACATTTTATCATTTCTCGTTTCTCATACTCGTTGGATTGTTCAATTAACACGAGAAAATTTGTTAAGTTATGTATTATAATTTTGTCAGAGATAAATATAGTAACGTCTTTACCAAATATCATGCAACACCTTATCCTTGTGCATCTTATTTATAGTTACATTTTTTGCTCGCAATCAATTGTCGAGAATGATAGAAACCTCCTGTCGGGATCGATAGTTTAACTGTCAGGATGTTATGCAATATTTGCAAATGATAATAAAATGCTAATAATAATGTAAGTTGGGAATGTGTTTGAGAACAGTATGTCCCTTATACAGTTTTTTGCAGTCAAATTTTCTACTTCACAACTATTTGTCGAGAATGATATAATCCTTTTGTCGGATGGTATACAATTTTTGTCTATATAATTATTTTGCTTGTGAACTTAAACACGACTAATATCTGCAAACAATAATAAAATGATAATATAATTTTAGAATGTACAACGCTATCATGTGAATATTCAAAATACAACATCAACTATTTTTAGACATCAAGCATATTTACATTAATTATGTTAGAATGGGGTTGGAACACGTGGTTCGGTTATGGTCAACTCTACCTAACGAGTGCATAGGTAATACTTGTCGGAACTAAAACGAAAGTGGTTTTGTTCACTCTCCACTTTCATTCATCATCCACATAAACAAACTTTCGTCCATACGTACGATGAATTTCAAATGATTATTAACACCTGAAAAGTTGATATTGCAACGTTAAGAACTCTGCACAATCAATGTGTCGATATTTAATAGCATGAAAGTGACACTTTTGAATATTTAAATCCATTCAATGACGAAAGGTGAAATGAATGGTTGAGTCCAAATAGTTAAATTATTTATCTCGACGATTTTAAATGTCGAGTTCGACAGTTCAACTTTCAAAACTGTCTAGAAGTTTCATACATGTTTGGTATCTTATTGAAAACATTAATGGTTGTAATCAATTCTCAACTACAACAACTACATCATCACAACTTCTTTCCAAAAATAAATGATTGAATGCTTCATTAAATATGAAATGTAATACTTAACATTTGCTTAAATCTTTTTGAGATTTCTTTTTTATATCTTTTTCTTTCAAAAATATTTCAAAAATCAAGAGCATCATGATTAATAAGAGTTTCAAAAGCATTCTTCACTTTGATGATTATGTTGTTTTTAATATTTAAAAAGGGGTAAGCTATTCGATAAAAATATAAACAATTCGTAATAACTAACCTCTCAAAATGGATGATGTATCAAATAGTAATGTCTTCTTGATCAATGAATGAAGAAGATGGATGAAATGAGGGTTTGTTGAAGAAGATATTTATTTGATGTTAAAATATGGTTTTTTTTGTTTTTTTTATCTTTTTTTTTTAAATGATTCATATTATACAATAAAATATGCATATATCCAATGATTATAATAAATAAATTTAATATATCCATGATTATAATATATTAATTTAACACCCTATCATAATATTAATTAGATCGGAAAGTTAGCATTAAATACTCCTAAAAAGGGGACATAAAAGGTAAGTTGGATATTTCTCACAAAAAAGTGACATTTTTGATAAAATTAGGTGCACATGCAAATTTTTCGTACATTTAAAAAAAAAAATGACATTTTTGATAATTTATGTTTGCTGCTGGACAAGGTTGCAACTGTACTTTACTGGAGTACTTGGCTTTCGATTTGATCTCTGCGTGCTCAGTGCTATGCTCCCTCTTCGGAGATGATTTGGATCGGCGGCAAAATGAATGCTCACATGCTGAACCTATGCCTCTTGCCCTCATGATTCAGGGTTAAAAGAATACATCAGCTCTGAAATTTGAAAAGAGGGAAAGAAGAGTATAATATTGTTCCTGCTAAGAGATCAATGTAAATTTTTTGCCTATAAGAAATTCGAGAGAGGGTTTCACCACTGTAGTTTAGGGAAAGGATGGTGTTAAACAGGAGAGAAATCCCTTTGAAGAAATGGTCGAAGTTTAGGGACAATGGGAGACAATGTGGGGAGACCAATGAATCTTTATGTTTGGACATCTGAATTCATATACTATTTTGTTTTTCTCTGTTTATGAGTTCATATGTTTCTGGGAATGCATAGCATGTGCAGTTTTTCTAAATTGCCCAAGGCGAATGAATTTGTTTGTTATTTTCTACTAAAAGGGCATTTGTATCTGACACAGATTGAAGGCAAGAGGTGTTGGGTTTCTATTGTATGGGGACAAAGAGTACTAATTTTTCCAGATTCAACTTCTCCCTCTTTCAGGGTGAGTTCACAAGAATTCTGAATTGAAATGTTTGGCAATCGGGATATTTCCTGTACTCGATCCAATTGCAACGGACGGGGGTAGATTATGATTACTTAAGTAATAGCAAAACCACCATGAATAATTACCCAAATGCAAGAATAGATCTACAATAGTTAGGGGAGATATAAAATACAATGAAGTTACTCGTTGAAATTATTGGAAACATATCCTTGCTAGCTTGACAGCCTGAGGTCTTGTTGAGGAGCCGAGCCAGTGGCCTACGAAGGTCAAAGGAGGCAAGCGGGACCCTAGGGCATCCTGGTTCTAAAGTTGAGTGCATAGAGTGATGTAAAATACTTTAATATCGCACGATACTCTAGAATGTCATGTAGTGACAGGATTTATCTAACTCTCCAATCAAGTACTTGATCAGCTTCAAATTATAAGGGTGATGTGACAATCATACTATAGTTGAGTATATGTCTAAGAATATTCTTTGAATGCGTGCTACCTCATTTGATAATGGTACCAATTGTGTCAAAGAAGCAAAATAAGAACTCTCTAGACAGTAGGGTAATTTGTAACAACTTTTTCATCGTTGTCTTTCTAATTAGTAAGGTTCACTAGCTTGTTGATGGGCTTTTAACTTGGAAAAACTCTCATTAAACACCAGATAGCCTTGAAATGAGAAAACCAAACAAACGAAGCTAGAAGAAAGAAGAGCAACATAGTTAACAGAGCAGGTACATTTCTCTTAAAAACAATTAAAATGTAACTACTATAACAGTGTTTTTTTTTTTTTAATCTTTTACTGTTCCTCTCTCTTCTGATCTATTCAACTGACTCTTGTGTTTACAAGTCTCTTTAATTGACACACTTAAAATTTATTAACTTTCAAAATAACCCAGTTTTGATATTAGACCGAAATTGACACAAATTTAGGGTGACCATTAATCTTGCCCCTCCAATCCAACTCCAAAGAACTACGGTTAAACGAATTTGCCAAACTTCCTTTGTTTCAGATTTTCAAGTTCACTTCTTATGCTGCAGTTATCATTTCTTCCAGGATCTTGACAAGTAGAGCTTGTTCAATACACACAGATGCATGAATGACACAACATTTTTACTTGTATTCTTCCTTAACCATTCAATACACATGGCTGTACAAATGACCCGTGACATTTGAACTTCTATTTCTTCCTTAACTCTGTTGAGTACTATTCATAATCCACCAAACTAAACATATCATTAACGGGATTGCTTATGGTTTCTAAGTCATCTAAATTCTGCTAAATCAAGTTGAAACGATATTAATCCAGCAAGAAATTACATGGACTAGTATTAATTTAAAAATGATTTCTAGTCAGAATAGAAAACGAATACACATTTGAAACGAGCTTAGGAAAAAATAGATTGTCTTGTTTCAATTCCCACATCAAATAACATTAATACAACAATTGAAGAAGATAAAACATCCTCAAAATACAACAAATGAGGCCATCCAGAACAACCAGGCCTTCTATTATATATCACTAGGGAATACAATGGTCAGACATCAGGACAGGATTCAGATGCTGCCCACCGTGAGCTTCAGCCAACCTTGATCTTTGTTGCCATTATTCCTCAATATCCTCGCTCAACTGTCTTGTATTTTCTTGATTTCTAGTTGTAGCATGTTTTTTATGTTTCTTGTTCTTTGCTTTCTTAGCCTTCATTCTACGTTTTTTCTCATTGGCATCAACCCATGCATAATCAGCTGGTATGTGGAAAGGGTCAATCTCATCTCGGAAGCTGCGATTTTCACTATCAATTGATTGCGCTCCGCCACTTCCTCTCATCCATGAAATCCATGATGTAGAGCCCTCCGACTCCTTAGACTTTGCATCTTGAAAATGCGCTGGACTTGAGAGAGGGGTTGAGAACTCCTCTGTTGGCTGAAGCTCCTCAAACTTTGTAAACGTTACCAGAACCCGTATAGTTGGGACAATTGGGATGGCAATCTGTGCAGTACCACATTCACGTGTCAGTTTAGTGCCAAAAGATACAAGAAAACAATGAGAATCAAGCAGGCAAAGTAAATAGTTCACATGCTCATTCGGAGTTTAGGTGATGACTTGCAAGGGCGTGGATCAATTTTTACGCATAAAAGGAGAGGAACCGTGCTCCAATCTCCAAGGCTGGTTGAGATATTACCATTGGTTGAAAGTGTTCTGTTTCTAACTTTGACACGAGAACATTGTTTTCCCCTTTTGTCCTGCCCATGATGCAGGATTTAGCCCCTATTTGAGCCCCGTTCTCAAAAATCTTGCGACCCGCTTGGTTTTTGTTTCAATTTTCAGTTTGAGTTCATTATAAATTTTCTATTTCTATTTTTGAGGTTCTATTTTAAAATTTCTAAAGACACATTTGCTTTGTCATTTTGAAAATTATTTCTCAAAACAGAAATTAAAATATACGTTTGGTTTGAAATTTTGAAAAATTATTTTGTGACATTTTATTCAATAAAATTAGATTATTCTGTAAAATTAGAACAATTTTATGTTAATATATTATCACATAATATTACATTTTAAAGTTGGTGAATCTTACAACATTTTCTCTTGCTACAAAAGTAAAATAAGAATAAATAAATAATAAATTAAGTTTAAAATATATGACGTAAAAATAAAACTTAATGAGCGGACTGTGAATATTTTTATCTATAGTGTTCATTTAAATTTTTTTAGAATTTTATGTAAATATTCATTAAAAGCTTGAACTATTTTTTTTAAGTATTTATTACTTTTATTTTTATTTTTAAATTTATTTTTATAGTTTTAATTTTTCAATTTATTTTTCTTGATTTTAATTTTTTGAAATTTTACTTATTAGAATTTTAGATTTTCATTTATAATTTATAATTTTCAAAATTTTATTTAAATGCTTATTTTCCATATTCTGAATGTCTTCAGAATTTTTCACTATAAACACTGAAAATTGAAAACTGATAACAACAAACCAAACACACCCTTATTTTTTCTCAAACTTATTTTCAACCACACTATAATGTACCGACACGGATACATATATCCAACACATATTACGTCGATGCGCAATTTTTTAAAAAGTACTGATGCAATAGGTCGTTGACACATTAACAAAATTCTTTAAATTCTTCATTTATATAGTATATATTTAGTTTTACATTTGTTATTAATTTTTCTTGTTGAAATCTTTTAAATATGAGTATTTATTTGTTATTTACTAATAACTTTAATTTAAAAATATATAATATTTTTAATAAAAATGAAAAATATATATGAAGAGCGTTCGAAAAGTATCGATATAGGCACGTACTAGATATGGACACACTATCCTAATTGAAGTGTCCATACTACAAAGACCACACATTATTTCAATAAAATAATTTTACACATAAACCCAAAATATTTTCCTACCATTTAAGCACACATACCCCAAAAATCACGACTACAAAATCTATTATTCCCCAAAAATAGGGCTCAAACGGGGGCTTAATACAAGCTTTGAAAGTAAGATGATAGTGCACATGAATTATGACTAAGAAACAGTAGATATTTTAGCAAATCCTTCTTTGCTGTGAAGAACTAATGCAGAACATAATGCTAATATTGCAAAAAGGTACAAATACATAGATGACAACCATAAGGCACAACAAAATTAGGAACCTAGCTAGAATTGGACTGTCAAGGCATTTTCTAACAGAAATCAGGTAAAGTCAATATTGTGATGCCCTAGCCCTTATCATACTTGAAGGCTATAATAATCATGCATGTGCCTGCAAATTATTTTCCATTCAGCATCTTAATTATATTAGAGCTTCTCTACACCTCTACATATAACTAAGGGTTAAATCGATGCCTGCTCATGTACCATTCAAAGATTCAAGAAGTAACTCGACTTTCTAGGATGGAACTCAGAGGGGAATTATATGTAGTTATACGTATCATAACTCAAAAACTGACTCATTCAACTGCCATGGCAACCCAGGGAATAATAACTATAGCATGGGCATTGAACTCAAGCTCTCTGCAGGCACGGCACATCATGTGCATGGATTATCATTATACAGTAGAGTAGAATGTTCCTCAACCACATCTAAACCTAGGTCTTGATACCTAGCCTCCTTCAGCCACCTAAGTGTTGATTTTGATTCCCAAAGCTACGAAGGCTTGTCGTGGTGATATCTAATGGATTAATATGATATTACTAACGAGGGTTTTAAAATAACTGGACAACCCTTTGCTTGCTTGATCCATCCATGGTATCTTTTGCAAGTGTAGTTCCTTAGCTTGACATGCATTCTAAGGTGCAAGGATGTTTCCACCAAAAAAAGGAAATATTTCTTAGAAGATCTATTTTTCCTGCCCCTGTATTCTATTCAAGAAAGTTCATAATGCCTGGTTCACAAGCGTCCTTTAGACTACCTGAGCTTATTTAGCATCTATTCTATAAACACACCTTAACGTAACAACTTTTCATCACAGGTACAAACAACTATTACAACAGCAACTACAGCAGGAAAACTGAAATTTCAGATTTCCCACCCTATATAGTTAAAAAAGCCTATAGAATGTGATTAATACAAGGTTATCCTGATGAGTACTAGATATCCAAGATATTGAATGTAAAACTCACAACTACCCCAAGTCTTTATTTGCACAATACAACTCATAAAGTACTGAAACATCTAAGGATTACAGTCAATTTGACTGCCTTTCTATAGCAAAAGAAAGACAGACTGAAAAGGTATTTTTTTATTTTTTTGAATAACATAATTGAGGCAAAACCGATTTGAACTAGACCAAATTCAATGGTTAGACTTTGAACACAGTTCAGTGAGCAGAGTAATATTTCCTGAAGACAACAGACTAAAATCCAAGATTAGAGTGATACAGTGCCAAGTAGAAGGATCAAGAGTTTTTTTTTGCAGTAATTTAGAATGTACAACGGACTTTCCCTATGCTCCTGAGACTTCTGTACAAGGATTACATATGACATGTCATATTCTAAGACCCATAATTCAATAAAAAGGGATGTTTAGTATGGATGTTGGTTTGGACAAATCATTCATTAAGTAAAATGGAAACTAGTTTAAGAATGGAAAAACACAAAATTTTAGTACTTGGTTAGTAGAACTAATTGTAAATTAGTTCTTCTGGACTTGTATGTTAAAGGCTTGGGAGTTAGTGCTTTGCATGGAATTCTACTCACTTGACAAGAACATGGAAATAACACATCAAAATCCTCAGGATGACCAAACAATTAACTCCATCAGATTATCCAGTACTCAACAAAAGCAAGACATAAGCATAGGCCAGCTGCAGATTTAAAAACAATAGAGAAGGAAGCTTGTGCACACAATGAAAATATAAACAGAATAAAAGATATCATACCCAATGAAGGGATGAACAGAAAATAACAAGCAGCATTAAACAAGGGCAGTAATAAGTACCTTGGCAGGAAACGTGCAAGGAGGAAGTTTAGTAGTCAAAAGCTCCCTCAGTCTTCTGACAGCTTTTACCTTGTTAGCCAGTATGTCAAGCAAAGGCAACAATTCTTCTGTTTTCAAAGGGAAATCCGGTGTCAACCACAAAACAGGTCTTAGACCTTTCTTATACTCACTTTCACTTTTTGGCTCACTCGTGGCCCCTTTCTTCTTTTTCTTCTTGCTGCTTTTATCTTTGGACTTTTTAAGGTCTCCCGTATCTTCCCTAGGAAACTCAGATGATGATCTGCGGCTGTCATTGGATCGCTGCTTGTTATCATCAGGTGTCAACTTTGAGAACTTCTTCAGAATCTTTGAATCCTCGGGATCATCTCCAGAATTCTTGGAACCTTTTTTGTTCCAGCCAAACCAACTTTTCTTCTCTTTTGTCACACCACTGGATTCACAACTTTCATATGAACCCCCATCATAATTTTCATGGCAATCAAGAACCTTGGGTTCCTCATCCTCACCAAGGTCTTCAGAGTTTCCCATGCGAAGAGCAGAATCTAACTGCATTCTTTCCTCAGCCGTCAAGACCTCATCATACTCATCATGTTCACCCCCATTTGCAGTTCTATCATCATCATTTGCAGAAAAGAGCTCCTCATCAGTCATAGCACCAGGAACTCTTCTTGACTTCACGCTTACCATCACATGAAGCATATCATAAACCTTGGCCTTCCAAGCTCCAACCATCTCAGTCCTCTCCTGTCTTCTCCAATTCAAATGGGGAACAAGCTCAGCCTGAGTAACGTCAATTCCTGGTCTATACATATTGGTTTGAGACATCAGGGCCACTTCATGAGCAACCTCAGCTTCCGATGGTTGAACACCAGCTCCCTCCAAAGCATTTGTTATTTCTTTCTCCTTATGGGCAAGCACTATCAAAGAGCCAGGAGCCAAACTTACATTGCCATCTTCTGAAGAATACCCATCTCCAAGGAAGAGAAATGTTTGATCAGACCGTTGAATACGAAACCCATCAAACCCTGCAAGGGTCATATCTGCACGGAGATTGGAACCCCGTTTCCATATTCGATAAGTGTCTGATGGTGCAATTCTCCCAATAAAGGGTATAACAGAGCTCTCAAAGTGGAAGGTTATCTCCATATAAAAGTCACGAATCCTGGCTGCCGATGCCACAATCCTAGGAAGTCTACGACACCATTTGGCCCAGGCAAGAGGCTGATAATGCCGGGCAATGATCATAGCGATGTTCTCCTCTCTACTACAAACTGCCTCTTGGAGAGCACTCCATCCATTCTCATTCTGAAGGCTCCAATCAGCACCTGCTGCCATCAAAATCTCAGCTGAAGTTGCATCACGAAGGCGCACTGCAAGGTGCAAAGGAGTTTCCCTGCCTGGAACATCCCGTCTGTCAATCACTGCAGACACAGAATCAGCATCCTGTTCAGCAGCCAATGAATCAGCCTCAGTAGTCACCTCCCCCGCCTTTGCCAGCATAGGAAGGGCAGAAACAATCCGTTTCAATGTGGCATAGTCACGCCGCACTACTGCCAAATGGGCAGGACTATGTGCATATTTTGACAATTCTTCCATTGGATTTTCCTCTATTCCCACTTTCCTTAAAAAATGCAGCTCAAACTATCCACAATCTTATTCCAAAAAAAGTGTCAAATATTTTCTGAGGTTTAAGCTCCTAAAGATCCAGAATTACTGCACAAAGCTTCTAACTTCTACATCAAAATTCCAAGTTTTCCACTATACATCTTCTTCAACATTGCACAGCTTTAAGCTAAATTCCGTCACAACAAAACCCCAGCAAATCTCGATCTCAATTTCCACTATTACTGCAGCTAAATATAACCAAAAAATAAAATAAAACAACAAAAATTAGCAATAGATTAGGAAAACCTCGATCTAGCTAAACCTTCAGCACAATTCAAATAATACTTCAAAAAACATAAAGAAAAAAAGGCGCTCGTCCGTGATTTCTTAAAAGACAAAAAAGGAACAGAAAATAAAAAATTACCCGAAAAGACACATCGAGATACAAATTTGAGCTGATCTGGAGAGAGAAGGTTGAAGCCGTTGAACTTAGATCTCTCTTACCCCCCCTCTCTCTCTAAAACCGCATATACATACAGGAGGCTGTATGTAAAGCTCCGGTGAGGATTTTTATTTTATCTCTTCACTTTTGATTTGGATTTGCGTTGTAAATGAATTTTCTGCTGACCGCTACTGGCGTGGAGTTACTGTTTAGCTGTAAGTGGGGGGACATTTAGATATTAACCCTCTGATTTTAGAGAAAATAACGAATCTACCACACCAGTGACATTTAACTGACATTTCCCGGAACTGATGCTGACCTAGCATGCTGCGAGGACATGTGAGGTCCAACGCTTTATTGTGTTTTATTTTATTATGTGAAAATTACACCACATGTCAAAATCTTGATTTTTAGTTACACAAATATCATCCTTTTTTTGACATTAGAAATATGGCAATTTATGAAAATTTTGGACTAATTTACCCCTCTGCATAAATGTAATACCTTACAGGTTTTGCATTAATTGTAGATTTGACTAGACAGAATTGTGTCAGGGAGGAAGTGTGAGGAGAAGAAAAACAAAGAAAAAAAGCAAGATGAAGGAAGAGAAAGCCAAACGTCGAAGCGCCTCTCACAGAAATCACCGACCCTCTCTCTACAATCGCCGACCCTCTCTTTGCAATCGCCGACCTCACTTCCAGCCTTGGACGACGATCGTCAACGTCGAAATCACTCCCATTGTCAGTCGAATCGCCCGAAGCTGAGCACAACGTCGAAGCTCTCTCTGCAATCGCCGACCTCACTCCCAGCCTTGGACGACGATCGTCAACGTCGAAATCACTCCCATTGTCAGTCGAATCG